GCTATCGTAACGAAGAATGGTCATCTAGGGGACAACAGCAATGTTTTTCTGCAGATGGAGAAACCAATAAGCCATTACAACACAGACGCTGGTCAATATCGAGGTCTGGTGATCGACCATTAGTGACAAAACCAGTTCAAGTGACTGGCACAATCTGTCATTTTAATCACGAGATTTCCCGTGGTTTGGTCATCCAAGCATGTCTTCTTGACCTCCTAGCATGAGTGTCTGAAGATAAGTGGGGACGAAGATCTTGTAAGTAGTCGAGTACCGGTAGCCTGACATGTAGTGACAGGCTGGCGGAGGGGGACTTCGTGGCCCCCTTAACCCTTTCAGGATGGGACAAAATGGAAGGCAAACGCTGCACTGGTTGACCATGAGAACCTTATTAATTGGAGAACATGAACAGATGAGTGACGAGGAGACACTAGGAAAATTAATAACAGGACTTTTTTAGAGCGTCCGGGGGGGAGAAATGTTTATGGACAACCATGATCGCTGATATCTGTTTCAGATCTGGTAGGCCTACTTTATGATGAAAAAAAAGTTCATGACTTACGATTTTTTTTTTTTACCAACTTTTACCGTGCGCTTTTTTTTAAAGCCACGTCGGAGTTGTTTCATTAATTCTGGGGCCCCTTTCAAAACGTAAGACTTACGTCTTTCATACATTGTATTTGTTATCGCCGATATCGAATCTTTCATCAGTTTTCAAGTGAAATTATATATCAAAGCTAACACGGTGCAGTAGTCATAAAAGTCTGTAGATAAACGTCTAATGGTCCAAACGATTTATTGGTCAAATCGACGCACATTGTTCCGTAGGTGGGCATCCTGGCTCACGATGCCCGAAGAGCAGGCAGTGTGTGTGGGAAATGGGCCGAAGGGGTTAAGGGTGCTATAAGTCGTAGAAATGATGCAGGTTTCTCCTTTTGCGGATTTCTAGTTGTGCGGGGGTTTCTCCTTTGACGCGCGCGCGCGCGCGTGTGTGTGTGTGTGTGTGTGTGTGTGCGTGCGTTTGTGTGTGTGTGTGTGTGTGTGTGTGTTTGTGTATGTCTTTGTGTGTTTGTGTGTGTGTGTGTTTGTGTATGTGAGTTTGTATATTTGTATGCGTGCGTGTGTGTGTGTGTTTGTGTATATGTATCTGTGTG